GAAAACCGCTCGTGATTCTAAAGAGAAAGAGAAGCTTGAAGGCACTCTTGGGTCTCCACAGCTGCAATATCAGCACTTCACTTGGGAAGAAATTGTAGCTGCCACTTCATCGTTCTCAGACGAGCTGAAAATCGGAATGGGAGCTTTCGGAGCTGTTTACAAGTGTAATTTGCATCATACAACAGCAGCTGTCAAAGTTTTGCATTCCGCTGAAAATGGTCTGTCCAAACAATTCCAACAAGAGGTATGGAAGTAGGCTTTGGGTATTTGGTTAAAGGCATTTCGGTTCGGCTTTTATGCCCATCCATGTGGAAAGTCTTTCTTTTCTAAGAAGCTACATTAATCTCTCTGGTCCCTCTATTTTGCAGCTCGACATCTTGAGCAAGATTCGGCACCCACACTTGGTTCTCCTTCTAGGAGCGTGCCCGGAGCAGGGAGCTTTAGTTTATGAGTACATGGAAAACGGTAGCTTGGAGGATAGACTTTTCCAGGTCAACAACAGTCCACCACTCCCGTGGTTTGAGCGGTTTAGGATTGCTTGGGAAGTTGCAGCAGCTCTTGTTTTCCTCCACAAATCGAAGCCTAAACCGATCATTCACCGTGATCTAAAACCTGCAAACATCTTACTAGATCACAACTTTGTCAGCAAAGTTGGAGATGTCGGACTCTCGACGATGGTTCAAGTCGATCCCTTATCGACTAAATTCACTGTATACAAACAAACAAGCCCTGTGGGAACATTATGCTATATCGATCCGGAATATCAACGCACGGGAATGATATCACCGAAATCAGATGTCTATTCATTTGGAATGATCGTCCTTCAGCTTCTCACAGCAAAACCGGCTATTGCATTGACACATTTCGTTGAGAGTGCGATGGATAGTAATGATGAGTTTGTCAAGATCTTAGATCAGAAAGCGGGTAAATGGCCGGTCGAAGAAACCCGGGAACTGACTTCACTGGCTTTGTGTTGTACAGAGCTACGCGGGAAAGATAGGCCTGATTTGAAAAATCAGATTCTTCCTGCGCTCGAGAGCCTGAAGAAAGTAGCTGATAAAGCAAGGAATTCAGTTTCCGGGGTGCCGACACAGCCTCCCACTCATTTCCTCTGCCCATTACTTAAGGTAGCTAGCTATATATAAACCTTGTTCGTTATTGTCATTGGTTACTTGCAAGTGAAGTAATTTGGGTTTTTAAACCAACCGGGTTATAATGCAAATGTTGTTGCCTCTGTATATAATGCAGGATGTGATGAACGAACCGTGTGTTGCGGCTGACGGGTACACATATGACCGTCGTGCGATAGAAGAATGGCTTGAGGAGCACGACACGTCGCCGATGACGGATTTACCATTACACAGCAAGAACCTTTTGCCCAACTATACTCTTTACTCGGCCATCATGGAGTGGAGGTCTAGAATATAGCAAAGTGAATCGTGTAGCGTTTTCTGTGTATGTAAACGGCAAGGTGCACTTCGTTTTTTCATTTTTGGGTATATGACGACGGTAGAAGTTACAC